CCTCTTCTTGACCATCCTTTGACAATGTGGATGTGACACACTGAGGAGGAGAGAGGAGAACTATATATCTCAGGTGAGGCAGCAATCAGGGATGATTCAGAAACAAATATAAACTAAATAGTCTCTTTTCTTTACTAAATATGTCATAGGGAGATGACTCTTAATGGGAAGAAAAAACTGTCTCTTGGGTCATTGGTGGAAAGGCCCTGCTGCCTTCGTAATACAATTAGCTGTTTTCTTTTTGTGTTATAGGAGCCATTCCATTAGAGCTACATTATATTTCTTTATAAACAAATATAGATACTAACCATCAACCAAGTAAGGGATGCTCAGTGATTCTTTAATCACAGAATATTGTAGAACTACTACCTTTTCCTAAGTTCTGTTTCTATGAATAATTTGCAGAGTTGTGCGACATGCAGGTAACACAAGGAAATAGGAATAATTGTTTTTACGCAGACCATCTTGTTTCTTGCCTGTAAATTGCCTCCAAGTGGCTTTGAAAACAATATTGCTTTACATCGCTTTCAAAGAAGGAGAGTTACCTGAGAGCATTTACATCTCATATTCGACAGAGACTATTTCTGTGCACCTCCATCATGCCATTCAGATGGACTACATCAGTTAGTGTTTCTTCTTAAGGAGAAAATCCACTGGGGTGCAGGAGAGTTTAGAATTTTTGCAATGAAAAGATAGAGGGAGAAATTACAAAAACCAACTGTTTGGAAGAAATCTAGAGCATCCTAAAAGTCAGTGTAATTAAAACACAGCAGTTTGTAATTATTCTGAAGAGAAAAAATAGTAAGAAAGGCTCAAAAATACTAATGTGGTTACCCAAGGTCCTGCCATATTAATTCAAACTGACTTAGATATGATATCTTCAGATGGGCTGAAAACTATTTGGAAGGCTTAAAACAAAAGAAACTGCATTATAATTAGGTGGAAAAAGCAGTGGGTTTGGAGTCACTGGAGCATGGGGTTGGTTCTGCCATTGACTAACCAACTGACCTTTGGCAATTCGTGGAACTTCTCTGTGACTCAAATTTTGAAGCTGCAAAACAGGATACTACCACTTAACCTTGGGTTTAAAGAATGTGTGTAAAGGTTATTTTCTTTTTCAAGTGCTGCTCTCCACACCCCTCTTTCTCTTCTTTCCATCCAGTGATAGACAACCTCCTGCCGAACTTCCCCACCAGCCACCTGCTTCATCTTTATTTGTATATTCAAATTCTTCCTTAGCATAATCCTTGAATCTACACTTTTTTAATATTTTGCAAAGCCAACATTCAATGTCATTTAAAAAACTTTATCCTTGAGTATATTTATGTTCAGTGTTTCTTCATATTATACATCAAATTAAGAAAAAAATGATTCCTCTCATTATCCCTTTGCTCTTCATTTACCATTTGCATCTCTTTGGCTCCCACCATTAGTTAAAATTAATTCACTGTTCAGGTTCTTGTTATAGGTGAAACATAAGGGGGTTTACTGAGGTATTGTTTTGATAAGGTCAGAGTCGTCTCTGTAACAGTGCTCAGGAATAATGATTGTAATTCATTATTTAAGTAGAAGTTTCAGTAGAAATTCTTAAACTTTATTTGTATTGAAATAATCTGAAACATAAGTTAAAAAATGAAAATTTCAGAAGCCTTCTTCAGAAGAATCTGATTTGGAATGTTTAGGTAAAAAACCAGGAATCTGCATTCTTAACAGGTATCCCCGGTGATTCTGATGTGGGCGATTCACAGACCATCCCTCCAGAAATGCTATTAGAGGTTATTTAGGCATTTCCAAGAGTAATCTGGAGTTTTCAATCCTTGTGGCTTAAAAAAGAATATTGTATAAAGAAAAATATTTGCAGAAGGATTTTTTTTATATTAAAAAATGTGATGACGTATGTCATCAGAGCACAAACTGGAGTTCGGATGATAGTTTGTTCATTTAATACCTGTGTGACTTAAAAAAGGTCATTAGTTATGCTTTCCTACTGTGTAGCATAATAACACCATTAGCAGCTCCAAGCAGGTATCATAGGGATAAAATGCACGTAAAATAAAAACACCTTAGTCATGAAAAGTACGATAGAAACATTAATAGTTCTCTTTAGTATCGATAATTTCAAGAGCTAGATTATTCAACTAAATGAAGAAAAGCTAAGCCCAGATTTTCCATTAATTAATGTTTTCACCCACATAAAGTATGAAGGGTATGTTTGTCAGCACCCAGGAACAAACCAAGGCTAGACATAGGCTGAGGTGCAACCATGAAACATCTATGTGATTAAATAGCAGTTTTCTGGCATTAACAGCAATTCAATAGAATCTGTGCTTTAGTACAAAGAATTGCTAATACAATGTATAAATAAACATTAAATGGCATTTTTTTTCTTATTGCACTAATTCATTTCAGACAAGTTCAACCCATCCTTCAAAAGAAAGAAAAGGAAAGTTACCAGTTACAGACTAGCTGGAAATGAATTATGCAATTTTCCCTTTATCTGGGAGCCATTTTTTATTCTGCATAAGATAGTGTCAGGTAGATCACAAGTACACTGATTACAAATTTATTTATAATCCAGGGTCTGGATTTTGGAATGTAGTGAAAGATCAACTGAAGAATGTGGTGGTTTGTATCTGTCTCTGCCTGTACCCCTTCAAATATATATATATATATACACACACACACACATATATTTATAACATTCATACAGAGCAAATGCATGACAATATATGACATGCACCCAATGGATGTGTGTGTGTATGCACGCCACTTTCAGATTAATACACTTTTTTTGGCAAGAGTAAAAGTGTTTAGTAAAATTTTCCAACTTTGAACAGTTAAACGTAACCCTGGCATGTGCTTTCATAGCAAAGGTTTGTATCCTCATCATGTTTGTATCCTCATCATGTTTGTATCTTGTGTAGTGCCTACAAACATGAGACACTGGAAAATACTAATCGTTGAAGTTGATCTGATCTCTGGAACAAGACCCAGAGATTCTCAAGGGTCTTAGATTCTCAAGGAAGTATTAATGTAAACCGGCCTGATTTTCTCCTGAGGTTTATCTCCTCCGGTTATTAAGACAGAGCAGGTTAGGGGCGCCTGGGTGGCTCAGTCGGTTGGGCGTCCGACTTCGGCTCAGGTCATGATCTCGCGGTTTGTGAGTTTGAGCCCCGCATCGGGCTCTGTGCTGACAGCCCGGAGCCTGCAGCCTGCTTCAGATTCTGTGTCTCCCTCTCTCTCTGCCCCTTCCCTGCTCATACTCTGCCTCTCTGTGTCTCTCAAAAATAAATAAGTGGTAAAAAAAAAAATAATAATAAATAAATAAAAGACCAGGTTATACTGCAATAACAGAAAACTCCCAGATCTCAGTGACTTATACACAAAAAAAGGTTTAGTTCTCATTCAATTAAATCAGTTGGTTTAGTTCTCATTCAATTAAAATCAGTTGTGGATGTAGGCAACCCTCCAAGCCAACTGTCCTTCATGCGTCAGCTACATGTTGTAGATCCACAGTCTCAGTACAGGTCTCTTCCCCTGCCCCCCAGCATGGGAAGAGAGCTTGGGACTGGCATCAAGAGTTAGATGTGTTTGGCATGGGTGTGACACATATCACTTCTGTGAAGCCGATGATGAAGACTATTAGATGGTGGCGCTGCTCCACTTTACTCTCGTGGTTTAGGGAAATATAGTCCACTCTGTGTCCCGGAAACAGAAGAGAACTGGATACAATAAGACCAGAAGTCTCTATGATACAGTTTAAATGGTTTCCAAGGAAACACATAAGAAGCAATAAGCTTCTTTGAAGAGGGGGAGAAATATAAAGAAAAATAAATTGATGAAGAAACTACTTAATCGTAAAAAAATAACAGATCTTAGGTGATGATTATGAAGGAAAATTCCAGCTTGAATACATTTTTAATCTAACTAAAGCTAACTTTAAAAGTCAATGTGAGTTTATTTTAAAACAACATGTATGTAATATTTTAAAGCAGTCTTTTGTTTGTCAATTGATATCCAAATAAAAAATACAAATAATAATAGAACTGGGAAGATAGGAGACCCAATAGTAAGCTGATTAAATTATGTTCTGAGGTAAGTTTTCATTCTGGCATGAAATATATGGTCTACAATCACTGGGACTTTGATTAAAGCCATTTTCCCTTCCTTTGATTGTATATGTTTTTTCCTTGAGGAATTCTAGGAAAAATGTTCTAACATAATGTAATTATGATTTAAATTCATGCTAGGCCAAAGCTGGAAGTATTGTGCCAGTATAGTTTCTGGTCATCACAGAACTTCTATAAAATGGTTGCCAGAATTGAGTTGCCTCTCTCAGAGTTGTTTAGAATAGCTTTTCTCTGGGACTTTTTCAATACCAGATCCCTCATGGATTAAAAACTGGACCGATCCCAAGCCTGACACAAAGAATTTAGAACTAAATTATTAACATAACTTATGATAGTTTCCTCCTCAGTCACAGAGGTGTGATTAAACTTACTGGTTCAGCCATTAGAGTTGGCTAGTGATCCTTGAAGAAATTGCATGAATTTATAAGAAATGGAAGCCAAGCTTAATTTTAACTTTTGTGTGAAAGCATCTTCAATATTATAATTAATCTTCTTGTATGAATGTAATTTAGGATAGTTTGAAATACCATGTGCTATGGGAAAGCTCAAATGCAATACTTTCTGTATGTGCTGGACTAGATCAAGTGTGAATTCCCCTCCAGACCTAGAATTTGATGTGTAGACAGAGCATGCAATTTTGCAATCTGCCAAGCCAGAAGAGGATTTAATATTACATTCAAAACTGTACTCAAATTGTCAAAAAATGTTCAATAAAATAACATTGCAAATCATACTCAGTCAAACTAGCTGGCAAAGGTAGCATGACAAAATTGAGAAATAAAGCTTATGGGACTTAGTGTTATTTACATGTTTTCAGGGCTTACGCTCTGGGTGGCTCGCTATTTACAAGACAGAAGTTTCCACCCTTACCCTCTGCTTTAGGTTTGAGACAAGGCCAAGTCCTCCTTCTGACTTCATATGACTGTGGTCTAGTTCAGATTAGTGTTTGTCACCACTCTTCACAGCAGACAGGAATGCAGCAGACTGGGGGAAGAGGAGAAGGGTGGGGGAGGAGAAGGGGAGGAGGAGGGGAGGAAAATGAAGAGATTGAGGGACTAACTCTGTTCAAGGGAAACACCTGAGACAATCACAACAATGACATATGGAGGCTGCATGGCAGTCAGATGTTCACAGTTTAATTTTAGAGAACAGTTGAAGAGCATTTTAGAATTCTCAAAGTATTTGCTACCACCAGAAGAAAAAGTCATTCAGTAAAGTGTTATTATGCTCCCTCTCTGAAGATGTTTCTCAGAATTCTAAGCTTCTTAGAAGCTAAAGGGACATCTGGCTGAAAGATGACAGATCATAAATACTTTTCCAATAAATTAAGCTATGGTTTAACAGGAAAGAAAAACTATCAGTCAGAACAAATGAATCAACATAACACAAGTTTTCTAAAAGTTAAAAAATGACATTCCATCAATATTAAAAATATTAACAAAAAAAATAATGAGAAATTTTAAAGGTCATGTAAACAGCACTTTCTTTTTCTTTATGAATACAGAACAAACTCTTAATTACAAGTCAGACATTGGTTTAATGGCTTTACATGAATTAACCTTCTAACCTTAGGGAGTTCTATTGTCTTTCTAAAAGTGAGAAAGCTGAGGCATGGTAAGGTTATATATTAAGCAGATAGATGATGAATGTGAAACTTGAACCCAGACAGCCTGGCTCCATCCTGCATAAACTCTGATAAATTATAAAAGGGACGAACACAAATCTTCTCTCCGTTAAGTTTTGCAATGGGGACAATATCGAATATTTCCAAATTCTTAATACGTGATGTAGCTTCTGATGTTAATATCACTGGTGGGTTGTATCAGTTTCAATTAATAGGTAAAATTCAAGGAAAGGAGCTAGTGGTTCTTGGCTCTGTGTTGTGCTCTACGACTAAGATTTAGAACAGAATTAGATTATGTTGATTCAGTCATTTCTATTTTCTATGCTGAAATGTAAGGTTATAATGCTCATCATGCTATTATGTTATTGATTTGGACGGAGATTTGAGAATTGATTAGAATTAGGGAGAAGATGAGTTTTTTGGAAGAACCTTTATCGTTACATTTATATTAGCTAAGCTTGTAGCTTGTTGATTTCCTTATATTCCAGCCAGGCTTTCTTGTCATTTAGCTAATATAACTATAGGCTAAATCCCAGTATTAAGTAGTATTGATTTACTTGAGTTGTGGAACATAAATCTTTTCCCACCAGGTAAACAATAGTAATCAAAGGGAATTTGGCTTAGAAGGGAAATGATTTTCCCACCACTTTGCCCCATCAGCATAAACCCTGACTCTCCAAGAAGCCACAGGCTTTGGTAGAGGCTTTGGTGATACACCACTCAGCATAATCAGGTTGCCAAGAGACTGTGCCTAAAGTTTGTACTGAGAAAGATCATCAGCATCCTTTAAAGGGAGATATATTACAAAAGTGAATCCAAACAGATTTGAGTGGCTAGGTTAAATGAAATAGGCGAATGTAGCTGGCAAAAGAAAGTATCTTCCCTTCTGAAAAGCATGGCTTTGGCATCAGGCAGTCCTGGGTTGGAACCTAGCTTCACACTTGACAAGCTGTGATCACTGGTGAATTACTGAATGTCTCTCAGCCTTAGTTTCCTCCTCCTCTTTAAAAAGCACTAAGTAGTTGTAATATGTCTAGCACAATGCATGACACAAAATAGGAGCTCAATAAATTATTTTTAAGTGAAAAGCTACTTCTCAACAAATTCAATTATTAGAAAAAGAGTGTGAATAAAATATTTTTGAAGACTCATAACTAAGACATTATTTTTCATTAACCAAATATCCATTTTGGAAGTCTGAATCCTTATTATTTAATTTCTGAATAATGAATACTTTGAGTTATTCTAAATTAATTGAATAATGAAGTTATTCAATCTGCTTAATTTTTAAAATTAAAGCCATATGGATCTTCATTACTTGCAAAAGCAGGCCAAGACTGATCCTATAGTGGTTCCTCAAATTTACAAGATGAGTGTCTGATTTTTAGGATAATTTTGGCCAAAGATCAGAGAAATCCCTTCTACTTGTAGGCACTAAACTAGAAATGTTCCTAGCCCCAAGAGTGATACATTAGTCAGAGGATTATTCAATAAAGTCTCTTTTACCCTTTACTCATGATAAAATTAAATAACATATCAATCACAGTCTTCCCAGCCTTCTGGTGACATACCTTTTCTTAGAGTGTTTCACATGCCTATGTACTGGTGACTTGCCTACTCTCAATCTTAAAAAGGATATAAGAAAACAAATTTGTTAAAGATCAGGGAAAAAATAACCAGGTCATTCCTTCTCCTATGGCAAGGGAATTTCTAGATTTACTCTCTCCAATATGGTAGCTACTAGTTACAGCTGGCTATATAAATTTAAATTTAATTAAAACAAAATAAAATGAAATAATTTCATTTTCTCCGTCACACTAGCCATATTTCAAGTGTTCAAGAGTCACATACAGCTAGTGGCTACTATCATTACATAAAGCATATACAATATACAGTTTCCATCATCTCCATAATTTCTATCAGGAAGTCTGGCTAAATGATTGACAGTCAAGGTATTCAATTACAATTTTTTTCTCACTGAGCATACTAACATATATTCTCCTTATTTTTCTTATTCCTTAAGAAGTTTGTAAAAATACTTCTGGCACAAAATGTAAGACTGAATACTGTCTTGTGCCTCTACTCTCACTCCTTGTTTTGACTTACTTCATGGGAATGGAATTGCTCCAATGTTGTGGTTCCATGTTCTCAATTTTATAAAGGAATGAAGCATGGCCACCTGACAGTGATCTCTGCTTGGTGAAGAAAAGTTGATTGCCCAAGGGTTACCTGACACATTGCACCTCTCAAGTATTTCTACTGGTCAACTGCATACTCATTAGAATAGCTCTTCAAGAAAGGACAGGCTGAAACTGTTACCTAAGGCAAGCAGTAGGCAGTGAAATGGTTCTTTCCTTTCCTACTGCTCCTATTTGGAATCTCTTGGATTTTGTCATGTCTTATCCCTCATGATACCTATCCCATCTTATTTATGCTTCCTTTCTCATTATTTGTCCATGTTCACCATAATGGTGAGATTGGTGGTGCCACATGGCAAGGAGAAAATAAGCCCTTTTCATGAGGGCTGAGAAGCCCATCCCTCCTCCCTAGAAGGATAATTAAGGCTGAGAAAATGTTGGTCCTTTGTGCTCCAAGCCAGGGCTATTCTTTCATTATCCTGTACCTGGACCCTGTTTATTCTACACCTTAACTCAGTCAGAAAATGCACAGAATAACTTGAAGCCACATATTCTTTTGCAGTATACACAATTCTATATGAAGATTTATCTTTACCTCAAGGGCTAGGGGTAAAAAAGGGTATCTTTTCTACTTCCACTTCTCCCACCGTCACAAATAAAATTCCTAACCAATCTTGAAAGGATTACATAAGAGCTTGTGGATATTTGTACTACTGAATTCTGTTCCACAGTAAACCTTCGAGGAAAGACACTTTGCTTTGCAGAGTAAGTCATAGTAAAGAGAGGCAGGCAGGTCAAACCTGAAGCCATATAGAAGAAAAGAAGGTGAAAAAGGAACCAGCTGGCTCCCAGGTACATACATACCCACTGGAGATTTGCAGGTGTCTTAGCCATTCATTTACCAACTTTCTCCTTGTCTTCAACCCAGTCGTGCTTTTACCATCTGTACTTCATCCTGTTAGTATCTCTGCCGCAATGACACAAACCACCACCGACGACTTTATTCTATCCCTACTACATTGTATACATTCTTAGCATTCAAAGTGAACTTATGAATGAGTTTTCCCACAGAGACATTAGTTGTTTCAATAAATTTAGGTCTTAGGAGATCATTAGTTGTAATGTGGAGAACTGATTATTTGGGAGCAAGAACGGAAGCAAGGGATCACTTAGGAGACTATTTTAAAAGTCTAGGCAAGAGATAATGAAGGCTTTGGTCAGGGAGGTAGTAGTGAAATGAATGGGAAAAAGTAGATAGATTCAGGCGAAACCTTCGAGGAAAATTGACAGGACTGACTTTGTGGTAGGGAGCGAGGGGGGAGAAAAGAGAGAAAGGAGGAGATAATATTGACATTTGCTGAGATGGGAAATATTACAAAAGATAGAGAAAAGACCTCCGAGTAGCAGAGGAGGGGTGGTGGCGAAGAGCGAAGAGCATCGGGTTTAGTACGCGAAGTACCGCATCAAGTGTTAGTATTAAGTAGGAAGCTGAAGATAGGGCTCTGGACTTCAGAGAACTGGGCTGGAGACACAAATCTGGTGGTCTTCGGCATACGGGCAATATATAAAAAGCCAGGGAATCAGATGGGATCACATAGAAAGAGAGACTAAAACAAGTAGGGCACTGGCCCTGTTACATTTAAGGTGAAGGTGCATACAACACTGCATTATGGGTTATACAGAATGTTTAGACTACTTAATGTGTGTTAATAGAGAGTATGCATCTCAAATGATAAGGAATAGGGAGAAAACACTTCTGAACACAAAATTCCTTCAGGTGAGGAACTACCAGCATAACAAAGGGTTGTATTAGGTCGATTACCCTGACACTGACAAAATTTCGTTTATATAAAAGTGAACAAATCTCATTTTTCAACAACTTTAGCTAGCTGGTTATTTATCTGGATTGTCTTGAAAGAACAGACCAGAGTTTTCTAAAAAGTCTGATTTGATATTTCCACCTAGTTTACTTCATTTTATATAACGGCTACCAACATTTCAAAAACAGTTCTCATTTGATACAAAGTGCAAGAGTTCTTCCCCTGCTTTCTGAGACAAAAAGAAAAGTGCAAGAGAAATATGTGTTGCTTACAAACATACTGGTTTGCCTATATAATTTATAACATAGGATGGATTTTAAAGAACAGCTCACTGAGACAAGAACTAAAATTTTACTACCTGAATCATTGTTTAAATTTTTTATAGCTTAAATTAAATATTTACATTTTGGGTTGTTATGGAAAACAGGCAAAAAGAAAGATAGTGCTTTCCCTTGTGTCTAGCAGTTACTAACATTTTACAGAACAGCACCAACGCGAAAGAGCAAAAACTCAAAATTCATTATTTCTATATCTTGACACAAGAAGTTTTCTACAATCTGTTTCAGTATCTGAGCTCTGTTGAAATTAGTGATTTGTACATTCTGTGGCTTCAGATTTTTCTTTTTAAGTCAGCTCCCAGACTTCTGAGAACCAAATGTTTGCCAGGACTGAGTCAAGTTTTCCTACCTTTTGAATGAGTTTGTTTTTTGATTTCTGTGTATTTCTCAAAAATACAAGACCAGCTCATTTCACAAATGGGAGTTAGAGGTGGATTTTAAAAGCCT